GTGTGCCCGCCCACTTCAAGGTGACCCTGGAGACCCCGGACGGCACGCAATCCTTTGCACCTTGTCAGCAAATTGGCACGTTTGGGACTTGATGGTGTTCAGGGTGCTGAAAAGGCTTTGAGCCAGCCGGCGAAAGAGCAGCCAAGGAATGCCCTGAGGACGTATACATCCTGGACCAGGCTGAGGAGGAGGGTTTGGAGCTGCCCTACTCCTGCCGCGCGGGCTCTTGCTCCAGCTGTGCTGGCAAGGTCCTGGAGGGCGAGATTGACCAGAGCGATCAGGCCTTCTTGGACGATGACCAGATGGGCGAGGGCTTCTGCTTGACCTGTGTCTTGGACCAAGACTATGATGCTCCTGAACGTTTTTCAATTTTAGTCTCTCTACATATTTGCACGTGTAATTGGAATAGAATCTATAGAATGATATAAATAGCAGCGAGGGCCATGATGATTTCAAAACGCTTGGAACAGCCCAGGTGTGACGTACGCCACTTCCGACGTCACCATCAAGACCCACTGCGAGGACGAGCTGTGAAGCAGTGAAGATGACTTTCTCCGTAAGTTACAGGTACAGACTGCTTATTCTCACAGACTTTTCGCATCCAGCCTTCGGCCGAGAGCTGGCACAAGCGCCCGATCCAGTTTGAAAAGTTGTCGGCAAGCCTTTGCCCCGACATGCAAAGCACTGCAGAAGTTAGCAGCACCACACGTGTTCGAGTCCAAGTGAAACATTGCACAGCAGCGAACTGTGCAGAAATTTCATGGGAATAGGCCTTGCATAGGATAGCTACGACTTGCGAGGTGCGTCTTGTGGAAAGCGGGGGAGCCTTGTTGATTCAGGACATTATGGGGCTATAGGGCTGTACTTTGTGGACTGTGCCGTACCACGTCGGACGACCCCAGCATTGCTTGAAGTCACGAAGGCGCTAGCACTCCCAGAATTCTAGGAACTTCGAAGAATCGATATCCCTTGCCCCGAAGCCGGAAGCGAACATCCGAGGAACAGCTGCAAAATCGCTGGGGTGTTAGCGAGGCCTGCATGGATTTGTTGGGGTGCACTGGACAGGATTGAGCAGGTACTGCGAGGACTCACCTTCCAAGAAATAGTTTCCCCTTCAGAGTTTCGATGTGGATGTGCGACGCTTCGACACTAGCAGCACTGCCTTGACTGAACCTTGGAGGGCCCTTGCAGGTGCAGCCAATAATCTTCTCAGGTTGCCCTTGCACTTGTAGAACAATGGAACGCCTTGTCGCGTCCGCCTCAACCTCAAGTCCGAAGCAGCTTCGAACTTGAGGGTCTGGATCTATACAGCACCTTTTCTTGGTGTAGTGAAGGGGGGGCCCGTCGCATGCTATTGGGTCGTTTTGTGTTGCCGCAGGAATCCAGCGACGAGGAGGAGGACAAGTTGAGCCCATGGGGGATGTGTGCTACAACTGCGGGATTCGGATGTGGCATGTTCTCTATACGCGCCACCTTGGGTTTAGATATCCTCCTCGCTTCCGAGCATACTATACTCTTTAGGACTTTAGTGGCAGTATTCAGCAGTGCCTCAGCCGCTGACACGCTGAAGGTCTCTGAGCCAAGTATGTAAACAGGAGCCCTACTGGCTGAAGACCACCTGGAGTTATTCCTCTGAGGCCACAGCCACAAAGGCCAGTGGCTGATGTGGCTGTCACAGCATGTGCTTGCAGAAGAGGAGGTCATCTAGGCCCAGGCCTTGCCATGAGGGAGCAAGAGTGGAGAAACTTCCCGGGAAGCCCCATCACCCAAAGCAGCTGTCGAAGATCTCCGAAAGAGGAAATTTCCCAGCCAGAGAGCGGCCCAGGGCTCGCCGGCACTCATCCCAAGGGGCAAAGAGAGACGTTTTGCCTTCTCCGAAGCTTCCAAGAAGCCGTTTCCTCCATGTTGCAGGAAACGGCCGACGTCTCCAAGCGAGGGCTCCCCGGTAAACCTTATCAGATCGTGGATCGTGAGAGCTCTCGACTCGGGCAGGGAGCACATAAGCATCCTTCACGCTGAGGTTGATGGTCACGGGGAAGGCCATGACGGAGATCTGGCAACGTCCCTGAGTTGCCCTGGGGGAAGTTGGGGCTCTGGGGCATTCGGATCTGGAGTTCGACGAAAGGAGGATCGATCTCAAAATCTCTTAGGATGCTAGGGCTGAGTCCCGAAGTCTTCTCAGATCCTTGCATCTGACGCAGACCCCGTCTCAGGTGATCTCAAGGAGCGCGGACGGCTTGCATTGCAGCCTTGGGAGGGCAGAGCACCACAACCCCGTGAGCATGTCAAATCTTGGGATGTCCAGGCTGTTTGCTACATCCACGCATTCCGAAGCACTTATCACATTTACCACCCTCTTCTTTACGCATGGTAGGGGTTACTGATGGTTACCGTCTGTCTGCCATGATGTCCGATGTTCGACATGCAGGGCTGTAGAAAAACGGCCGACCAACATCTCTCAATTGCACACATACTCGGTCGGATGGATGCCCTTGGACAGTTGTTGGCCTCAGACCTCGGCGGTGTGTCCTTGCAGCTTCACGCCATGGCAGGACATGTTTAAGCGGGTCTCCACAAGCCGCGCAGCTGCGATTTTCCGAAGAAAGTTCACACGAGCTCAATCAGAATTGCGGAGTCCTGTATTCGGCTAGCCGAACTTCGAAGTTCCGGCTTTGGTCTGCTCCTGCTAGATCCCGTCCTAACTTGACAGTCCCTGATCATGACGGAAACTATGCAATGCTCCGCAAAATACCCGGGAGCATAAGTTTATTGGCCTAAGTGACCGGGATGACGCCTTGGTGCGAGGCTGTGCTGTGCTGATTGCTTGCCGGGTAAGCCCCTCGCAGAAGGCCATGCAGCATTGTTTTCAGCACGTGTGGGAAGGCGAGTTCAAGACCAGGAGTGTTGAGGGTGCGATAAAACTTTTAACAATTGTCACTGCGTTAATCACTGCGGGATGGCAGGCGGAGCTCGTGCAGTTCATCCGCGATGAGGTAAAGCCCACGCCGGTAACGCTGGCCATCGGAGACGGCGCCAACGACGTGCCTTTGCTGGTTGGGGTAGTTTGCGACTTCAGGGCCTCGGATGATTCTGTTGCGCTTCGAGGGAGCTGCGAAAGCTGGCCGCGCAAGTAAGTAGTAACAGAGGTTGTTTAAGTTACCCCCAGGCATATACATCAAAGCCGATGATGCGGCGCATTGTAACCTGCCTGGCCGGAGGTGCCGATGATCCAGACGGCGCAGGTTGGCATTGGCATTGCCGGCAAAGAAGGCACGTTTGGCATGTGGGTGCTCGCCGGCTATTGAGGCGTGAAGTATCATAAAGTGACACCCAGAACTTGAACTTCGACTCGATTGCATGGCTTGCGCTGCATGACACAGTCTGAAAACAAAGACAAGACCTTCAATGACAAGCGTGAGCAGTGAAGAATCCCAAAATCAGGCCGACAGGCAGTGAATAACTCCGACTTTGCGATTGCTCAGCGGCTCGGTCGCTCTCTAGGGCCTAGGGCTAGGGCATTGTCCAGAAAGACTGCTTTGGTGTGGTGCAGTCTTTAAAGACTATCTTGGCATCGGAGTGGGGGTTGCCAGGATTGCGCTAAGTGTTGCCTGAGCTGGGTATGTACCTGTATGTAGCTTGCAAGCGTCGGTCTTGCGGACGTCTTGGGGCTCTGGTTGGCAAGTAGGGTTTCACAGGTGCGGCTGGACTTGATGTCTTGCGCTGCAGTCGATTGACTTGTGCAACTTCCAGACAAAGCTCAGGTTCAGATATCTGGAAAGGTTGGTGCTGCTGCATGGCCGCTGGAACTATCGGCGGGCCTGCATGTTCACTCTGTTTACGCTCCCCGACCTTCCGCTTAGTGCTGATTCCAAGCTCTACCGATATCAGCACTTTTCAGCTTGTCTTCGGCTTTTGTTATGCAGACTCGGATGGAAGAAGGGTCTCAGGGACTTGCACGGCAAGATCAGAGTCCAATTGAGAAGAGACCCCCAACCAACAGGTCGAGAAGGACACGTTTGCGTTTGAGCCGATTCGGCTTGAGCATCTTGAGCCGAGGTTCTGGCGGAATATGGTCCAGGTGCTTATGATAGTGCGCCTTGGTCAGTACAGGACGACTTGTGACAAACAGGAGCACAAGAAGCAACCAGCAGTCCTCTCATGCGAAAATCCTGACAGTGAGGGCTTCGCCGGGGGTTCACTCTTTGAACTCCCAAAGCCCGGCACTCACAGAAACTTCGTTCCAGACAACGAGTTGGGCCGAGGGCCGAGGTTGAGGCTGTTGGATGACAGAAGCCGGATACAAGTTTTGTAATCCTTGTAGTCGTCAGCAGATCATCGCAACCTGCATGTCTTGCCCCTGATGGCATTTTCAGCCTCCACGGAGGTGCTACACCTTTATCTCTGGATTTTCTGGCACCAGTATCTACGAAGACCCGTGGCGATTTTGCAGTTCGGGAGTTTCAGGGCAGGTCTTCGGGTTGCAGCTCTTCGGAGAGGTGCGCGTACAGATTCACATCTGCTTGCTTTCCTGAAGTTTTCAGACACTGGCAAAATGCCCAGGACTGGATTCGGCTAACGTTCAATGCCTTGTGCACGATTCCGATTCTGCCTCCGGGTTGCCATGACAAGGCCCGGGAACACTGAGACATTCCATCGCATTGGGAACATGGTCAGCAGGGAGCTGTGTTTTTCCTGCATATGGCTAGTTCTCTAAATTGGCATCCGTTTTCAGGTCCCCAATATAGTGCGGCACCCTTATAAAAAAGACCC